GTCAACACGGCGCACTCTGCCTGTGGCACCCGCTATAGAGCATTCGATGGTATGTATATCATGACCATGCATTCCAGCCACGGGTATGGAGGTAATGATACTTGTATGTGGTCGATGGAGGTAAAGCGGAGTGTGCCGATGTTGATCTGCATCAAGGGCGGCCCCGCCCGTTCGTCCCAAACAACGCTTCAACGTCCTTCTCTCTTCCACACTTGTTCTCACACCCGAATTAATACACCCACCAACCACTAACAATGCCGTCCCCCCCCGCCCCTCAACAAGCGCCCCTCCCCCAAAGACTCGCCCCGGCCCTTGAGCCACCAATCGCCCACCCCCCTCGAAGACTCGCCCCGGCCCAGCTCGTCGGATCCACCCATCAGCCGGTCGACACCCCACCTCAGCCCGTCGCCTACCCCCACCAACCCGTCGCCTACCCCCCCGCCCCGCCTCGCGCTTCCTCGTGCCTGGCAGGTTGGGTGGAGCGATGCGGGATCTGCTGGCAAAGATAGCCGAGCAGGACCAAAGATCGTACGATGTATGGATCACCAACGAATATAGGAAGCGAATATAGGAAGGTTGCCCTCCACCACTTGTCTCCCGACCTACACACTGAAGCCAAGAACAAGGTCAGTAACAGGGCTGACGACCACCGGGCCTTTTCTGTCTGGCCTATGGGTACGTTCTCTAGGTGTACATTCTGCACCATTTCCGAGACCTGACACACCCATTAGTCCTCTTTCCGGTCTTTGGTTTGATTTCAGCCATTGCGGTCTGTCTCCTCGGGTAACACCTTCTCCACCCCTTTCCCGTGATAAGGCTAATGGCGTGCGTTTCTGAAAAGCGGCTGGCGCACACGGGGTAGTTCTGGGGCTGACCGTCACCGGCGTGGTGGCTAGCGTCATCCCAGCGGTCAAACCGATTTGGCTGTTGACCGAGTGGCCCCTCCAGGCTGACGCGCTCCCCTGTTTCTGGGCCCGCCGGTGGTCTTTGGTGTGGCTGGCCATCAACCTCATGTGGGCCGTAGCGCTCCTCGTCCAAGGCCTAAGTGGGTAGACGGCTGAACTTGACCTATCACGAGACTGACGCGTTTGGTTAGAGAGAACCTGAACATCAACCAGGTCGCCGCCAACTTCCTCCCCCTCCCGTGCCACCCCTGCTACCCTTAATGACTCCCCCCCCCCCCTCCTAAGGTATATAAAGGGTGCCGCGTTTCGTCACCCCCGAGCCGTTTCCCTAGTTGAAACTTTGCTTTTTACACTATTAATTCTGTACTTTTAGTAACACTTTTTTCATCCTGATGCTTTAGAAGAATTATCTCCTTCCACGTCTTTTGTGTAGTATGTAGTGTCCGCCCAAGACCCGCCCAGCGCTAGGAACATCATGCATAGCCAATGGCCGTAGGGATATACCCGCGAGCGACTAAAAGGAGCCCTACTAACAAGAAGACTGTCTATGGGAAAGAAGGAAAATAGCGATATTGAGAGCCAGAGGCGCACAAAAATCGTGTCATGGGGAACATACATACAAAGGGTAGGAAAGAGCTAACTAGGGGATAGAAGGACCTATCAAGAACGAGCTTACCCAGAGCAGACCCAGAGCTTGATGCTGATATGTAGAGTACTTTATGTATGCGCCGCAGGTACCCGCAGATTTGGTCTCATGCAGCTCACATGGAACCCCAACCCGCCTTCCCGAAAAGTATCGTTCGCCGCTAAGAAGTAGGTCTACTCCCTCCCTCCCCTCATCCAAAGATTGGATTGTCAGCTGACGATCCACCTATACTTTACTTTACTCTAGGGCCGCTGTCGATGGCGGTTCCAACCTCTGGTCCTCTGCTGCGTTCTACGGGAACCCGGGGGATAACTTTGCGAATATCAAGCCGGCTCCTCCAACCCCAGCCGTATCGCCCAAAACATCCCATCCGCCTCCATTTCCCTCTCCTCCGCCGAAACCAAAGAGATCAACGACTTTCTCGACGCTTTTGAAGTGCAGGGTACGAGGTATCCCGGTGCGGCTATGGGTCAACTTGTGAGTAGTCTTCTTCTTCCTCCTTCCGTGATGGGGGTAGCGGCTGATGAGTGGTGTAGATGAAGTGAGATGCGTAGGGCGCAGGGATCGAGGGGAAGGATTGAGGGGGGGGGGGGGGGGGGGGGGGGGGGGGGGGAAGGACGTGGCGGGCAAAAAGGATAAGAAGTAGGCTATGCGAGTAATCTTTGTAGCAGGAGTCAAATGTACACGTACGACCGCATACTCGAGTAGCATACTTTGTGTGCAATCTCCAAAGTCTCCGCCCTAAGCTCACTAGCACCCACCCTCCTCCCTCAGGGCTTTGAGGGGAAATGCCCGCCGGCCTCGCCCGCGGCGGCCGGTGAGTGTGGCATCCACGCGGAGTTACGTAAGGTTCCGGAACACCGCTGCGATGACGGCGGTAGGCATCTCCTTTGTTCGGCATCCCCTCTTGATCCCATCCCGTTCTATCCACGGCAAGTCGTACTGCAGGCGGCCCTCCCCGCCACGATGCTCCTCCCTCTCGCTCTGCTGGCCCCGCTGCTGGTGTCTGCGAGCTTCGGCTCCCTCCGCCCCCGCCAAGACGATATCTCCCCCCTCCACCCCACCTCCCCTTTCGCCCCCCCCCGGCGGCGACCCGGCACCACCCCGCCCGGCTGTCCTCCCTGTTTCAACTGCCTCCTCCCAGCCTTCAACTGCGGTAACGGCGGTGAATGTAACCCCTACGACGGCCAGTGCAAGTGCCCCCCAGGTTTCGGCGGCCAAGACTGCTTGACGCCGCGTAAGTGCTGCCGATCCATCCTGCTTTGCGGTAAGACTGACAGGGGGTAGTTTGCGGCGCACTGTCCGATGGGGATGAGCGGTTCCCGAGGGAAGATGGGGAGCTTTGTGATTGTAAAGACGGGTGGGGCGGTATCAACTGTAACGGTGCGTAACTTTATCAGAGCGAGGGGCCAAGGCTAACAATAGGCAGTCTGTAAGAACGACGGCGCCTGCGCTGGCTTCCTCCCCCGATCTGAAGGCGCCGAAGATGGCGACGACGATATGGTATGCTACCAGGGCGCCCTGGCCGTACGGGAGAATTTCCAGATGTGCGATGTCACCAGTACGTCTCCCTCGTCCCCCTCTTCATTTATCCCTAACCAAGATGTAGACCGAAAGATCATCGACACGATCCCAAACAACAAACCCCCCCAAGTAACATTCTCCTGCTCCGCCAACGGCCCTTCCTCCAACACCTCCTACACCCCTCCCCAATCCCCCTTCTCCTCCCTCGATACCCCGTTCCAGCCGGACGCCACCGGTACTTGCGCCTTCCAGTTTTGGGTGGATAGGATCGAGAGTTTCCATTGCGAGTTGAAAGGGTGTAATTGGCAGAATAAGGCAGAGGTGGATACGAACCAAACCAGCTACCAATGCGAGACTATCGAGTGCAGTTGTATCCCCGGCAGGTTCTTGTGCGGTGAAGATGGCAGTGTCAGTAAGTCCCTCCCCCTTCTTCCCCATCCTCAAAAGTGCCACTCTGACAGGTGGGTTAGATATCGACGACTTTTTATCAGAAGAAGTCAAAGGCCCCGGCTCCTTCAACTGCATATCCGGCAAAGGCTGCTCTTTCGAAGAACCGGCCATGAACCAGCTCATCAACGACATTTTCGGCGACAAGTCCATCACGCTCGATTGCGATGCCGGTGAATGTCTGCACTACACCCAAGTGCCAGGCTACGTCCAACCAGAAAAGCCTGATAATAGCTCGATGGTAGCGCTTAGTGCTGCTTTGGCGGCGGTGGTGTTTGTTTTGGTTTTCATCTGTACGTCTTCCCCCCCCCCCCCCCCCCCCCATCCCCGCCAATGCCAACGCCAACGCCGTCACCGGGTACCCTCCCCCTCCCCCTAGGGCCCAAGCCGACGCCCCCCCGACCCCTGGATCGATGGGTCGAAAGAGAGGACAAGACTGACGAAGAGGGTAGTGATATGGTACACCGGCCGTACCCGCAAACACACCCCCGGTCTTGGCGAGGTCCACCTCCCAGAAGACGAAGCCGCCAAACTCATGTCCGACCACGTCCCCGCCACCCTCCACTTTTCCAACATCACCTACGACCTCCCTCCTCCCGTCTTCTCCTCCTCCTCCTCTTCTTCTTCCTCTGGTACCCGACTCTTGTCGCATGTTACGGGTACTGTCAGGCCTGGCGAGTTGTTGGCCATCATGGGCGCTTCCGGCGCCGGTAAATCGACTTTGCTGGATATCCTTGCCCGAAAAGCCAAAACCGGGCGCGTCCACGGAGAAATGTACCTTAACGGCCGTACCATCGAAGACGAAGACACCTTCCGGCGCATCATCGGCTACGTCGACCAAGAAGATACCCTCCTCCCCACGCTTACGGTGTACGAGACTGTGCTTTACTCTGCGCTTTTGAGGTTGCCGAGGGATATGAGCTATGAGGCGAAAGTGTTTCGGACGCTGGAGACTATGAATGAGCTGGGGATTTTGGGGATCAAAGACTCGAGGATTGGCGAATCTGGAAAGCGGAGTATCTCTGGCGGGGAGAAGAGGCGAGTGTCGATAGCGTGCGAACTCGTCACAGGCCCCTCCATCCTCTTCCTCGACGAGCCCACCTCCGGCCTCGACTCGTACAACGCCCACAACGTCATCCACTCCCTCCAGCAGCTCGCCAAATCATACAACCGTACCGTCATCTTTTCCATCCACCAGCCCCAGTCCAACATTGTCGCCCTGTTTGACCGGCTGCTCTTGTTGGCCAAGGGGCAGGTCGTTTATTCGGGCGAGACGGGCAAGGCGGGGGGGCATTTTGAGGGGTTGGGATATGGGTGTCCGCAGGGGTGGAATATGGCGGATTGGTTGATTGACCTTACTGTCGATGCTGCGGGCGACCACCACCGTCAAGCGCAAACGCAAGGCCACCCCACCAGTACCAGTACCAGTCGGCTGGAACAAGACGCCGAAGCGGGCTTGCTCCCATCCGGCTCGACGCCCAGCACCCAGGTGGCCGAGAGCGAGAGCGAGGTCTCGTCCTCCTCCACCCCAAGCGGCGGGGTGGGGGTGGGGGTGGTCGGGGAGATCAAGAACAAGGCTCAACGACTCCTCGGCGCATTCACACTCCCCTCCTCCCTTCCCTCCTCCGGCGCCTCCACCCCGACCGCCACTGCCAAAGACAACAACCCCATCCCCCGCATCCCCGAAAAACTCGCTTCCCTCATCCTCGCCTCCCGCGCGAGCGACGACGCCAAAATCGTCGAAGCTGAAATCAGCCGTATACAATCCGGCGGGACCCCCGACGGCGGCGGCGGCGGCGGCGGGGGCGTTGGGCCGGGGGCGGGGGCGGGGGGGTTGGGTGGGAGTAGGGATGTGGAGGAAGAGACGGGGTTGTTGAAGGGGTATAAGAAGGCGAGTCTTTGGACGCAGTTTGTGTTGTTGAGTGAGAGGGCTTTTAAGAATCTTTATAGGTACGTTTCTCTCCCCCCTCTTCTCTCGTGGGGTGGGCGTGGGCGTGGGCGGAGGCTGATGAGGAGTGTAGGAACCCGATGTTGATGGCCACGCATTACGCCGTGGCGGTCCTCGCGGCGTTGCTCTGTGGATTCTTCTTTTACCAGGTTACGAATGATATCCCCGGATTCCAGTACGTCTTTATCCTTACACAACCTTCCGAGTTCGAGTTTGGAGAAGAAGCTGGAAGCTGATGAGGGCGGTGTAGGAACCGATTGGGTTTATTCTTGTTCATCCTGTCCCTCTTTGGGTTCTCGTGTTTGAGTTCTTTGGGCATCTTTGCGAATGAGAGGCTGCTCTTCATGCGTGAGAGGTACGTTCCCAAAGCTCTGTCGTGAAATTTCCACTAACTTGACATCCAGAGCAAACGGGTACTACGCCCCCATAACCTATTTCCTCTCCAAAATCCTCTTCGACATCATCCCCCTCCGCGTCATCCCTCCCTTCGTCCTCGGCTCCATCGTCTACGGCCTCGCCGGGCTCAACCCCGAAGTATCAGCATTCTGGAAATTCATCATGATCCTCGTGCTTTTCAACTTGTCGGCGTCGAGTATAGTGTTGTTTTTGTCGGTGGCGGTCGCGGATTTGGGGGTGGCGAATCTGTTGGGCAGTTTGGTCATGCTTTACAAGTACGTCCCCCTCCCCCCCCC